CTGGTGTGTTTTTTTTAGCACAAAACCAGCAATATAAATACAAGCATATTCATTTTTCAGTGTCTAAGTGACATTAAACAACTTTAAATTTAAAATGGCATGCAGATCATTTTAAAAAATGCTATAATTCTTTCTAGATCCTTCAGGTCTTATTTTTTCTTCCTCCTGCCTTTGTCTTAATATTGACTTAGTGCAAATTGTGAATTGTCAACTTTAGAAATGTATCTTAATAAGCTACTGATTACTAGAAATGTTGACTGGTGAGGTTGGATCTTTCACGTTGTTATGGTTACCCCAGACAATTAATAACACTGATGAAAAAATTGTTTTACATATTTAAGGTGGACTGAAGAACGTTACTTTATATTAATAAAAGGAAAAGACACTAATGAGACCAAATTGTTTTTTTTGGGTTTTTTTGTTATTTCATTAAATCCAAAACAACAACCCAAAACTTTCCTATGTTTCTGCCTGTCTTGACATGTTCCATTTTCTCTGGCTGCTATAGAAAATCTTTCTTTTCAAGCAGAGTTGAAGTGGCATCAATCTGCCACTTTATCCTTCTGCCCAATAATCTCTTCTAATTTCTGGGTGTGTGACCCAGAAACAGCTTAGCACAGCCACAGGATGGCTGCAGCTGTCAGCGCACGTCTTGGCAACAACATCCCATCACCCAAATAAACCAGGTGTCATGTGACTTGCAGGCGCAGCCTTGGCTTTGTACTAATCTGACCTTCCCAGTTTCATGACACAAAGGTTGTGTTGATAACAGTTTTGAACTGGCTAGCACACCAGACTGTCTGAGGTCTAATGGGGCAAATCTCTGAAGTTGACAAAAGTCACAAAACACTTAGCATGACTTTTGCTTGTATTCTCTGTCCAAGTGTGTGTCAAAGTTTTTTGAGTCTTGAATTAATTTGTGCATCAGTGTCGATATTAATATTTACACTCATGGGTATGCATGTGGCAGATGCTTTTATCCAAAGCGACTTACCATTGAGGATATAACAATGCAGTCAATATCAGAGCTAATTAGAAGGAAGAGCACAGTCAGAGATGACGGTGTAGAAACAGTGTCAGCACAGCCAAGGAAGCAGAGGATCATCTCTGAAGAGCTGCATCGGTCCAGTTCACAACTGTCATCTCAAGGCTAGCTTTACAGCTGAGACATTTATCCAGCTTTACTATAACGGTAAGAGCCAGAGAGCTGACTGAGGTCACCAGAAAGAAGACTGTAGCAGTTTATCAGGCTGGTTTAGAGAGCTCTTAAAACTATCTGAAATCACTCTTTCCAACAGTACAGAAAACATCAAGACAACTGCCAACATGCCAAAGTCTGCCTGTCCCAGCAAGTTCACCCAAAAGACTCATCACAAGACAACAATAAAACTCTCCAACAAAACATCTAATGGCATGACAGGAAATACAGAAGGCTTTTGAGACTTTTCTAATAAGAAGAAAACCTTTGCTCTCAAAGAAACACATTAAGGCCAGGAGATGGTAGAATGTAAACTAAGACAAAGACCAGGACTTCTGGAATAAGCACGTTTGGACTAAAACTGAACTATGTGGACACTGGAGAAGAAGCCATTTAACCTGAATTAAACACATAATTCTCGGATTCCATGAACAAAACCGCAGACATACTTTGAAGCATAGAGGTGGAAGTGTCACACTTTGAGGATGCTTTGTTGCAGAAGGACGTGGCCAGGCCACCATCAGAGGGTCTTTCAGAAAATGTGCAACAATAACCTGAAAAATAATTACACCTGAAGCAGAACTCGACTCAGCAAACTGTGGAAAACCCAAAACAACCCAGCAGAGTCACCAATTCTCAGGCTGAGAATGTGGAGATGGCAAGTCCTGGGCCTAGTCAAATCCCTGATCTTGATCTTATTGAGATGCTGTGGGGCAACTTTAAATGGCTGTCTAGGCTAGATTTTATGGGATATGGTGTTTCCTCAATCTATCAAAACATATGAGAAAACAGAAAAAGTGATTATTGGATCTTACCTAGAATTTGATTTATTTTCTGATGATAAATGGAAGGAGGTATCCATAATGATGTGCCCTACTTTTTGATATGACTAAAACTGGTTGGTTGGATGAACTTTAGCTGTCCTTAAATTCCACATCAGTTTTATGGTTTAGTGACTGAGATCTTAGGAGAGCGTTTTGGAATGGTACACAGAGAAAAGAGTCAGAATTTGAGGGCTAATAATTAATAAAAAAAAAATTGCTAGCATAGTGATTTTTTTGTTTTTTTCACTTTGGACAGCCCTACTTAAAATCCTCTGCCTGTAAAGATAGAAGCACAAACAAAGGACTAGGAGTTTCTGGGCAGATACCTGATCTGGAAGTTGACTGAAAGATTTTTGGAAGCATTGGAGGAAGAGCATGTGTAAAAGTCAGCCCTGAGCTGGCATGAGGTGAAGGCCGACCCGGTTGGGTGGGGCTTGGTGGTTGCATGTGAGTTTGCAGGAAGACGTGTGGATTTGAAGGGCCTTCAGGTTCAAATAAGGGAGCATGTATGGAGGAAATGCCAGAGGACTTTATCCTGTCCATCCCAACGGTTACTGAGTGAAACAAAAAGATGAGATGCAAAAGGGACAAGGTGAAAGGGAAGTAGGAGGTTTAATGGAGAAGAGTGAGAGATTGGAATTTGGCAGAAAACAAAACAGAGACATTTCACAAAATGAAGGGACACGTATGAAAATGAAAATGAAGAAAGCACATTTTATATGACAAGGATGTAAAGAAGGAGATTGCAGCGTGAACAGAACATTACCTGTGGGGCCCGACTGACTTTCAGGTCTCCCAGTCAGATCTTGTGCACTCACACTGCAGGAAGCTGGGGGCAGGGAGGTAGCATAAGACGAAGATACGGAACAGCAGAGGGAAGGAATAAAAGAAAGGAGTAGTGGTTTCACCAGAATAAATAAAAGCAGAAAAAAAAGCCATACGAGGGGAAGCAAGGCTCAAAGGAAGCAGAAAGCTCAGGGGAATCCTGACCTCTGACCTCACAGCTTCCACACCTTACAGCCTAACCTGGCTGCAAACCCAGACTGCAAACACTCCTTTCTTTTCACTTTAAACTTACTTCATAAATTGTAATTTAGAGAGAAATAAAAGGTAAGATAACATACTTTGGTGCCTTACCTGAATCAAAAATCAAACAAAACACACAATGAAACATTTCGCTACAGCTCGCAAATCAGGAAGTTTGATAAACCCTCAGAACAGCTGTACTCTGTGCTTGCTAATAATGTTCATAACATAAAACAGCAGTGGATCTCTATGGCTTTTACTACAGAATAACACATTCTAATTTCTTTTCTTTTCAAATTAGAAACCAGATGGGGAAAAGATTAGCATCATATAGTAGCACCAACTCAAAATGTGCAGTATTACCAGCGACATGGATGCTCTGTCCCGTTCCAAAGCTGACTCGTCTCTCTTCGCCTGCCTCATCATCGCTGTCATTAAAGTCGTCCAGATTGCCTATGTCACTCTGCTTCATGCTCATTAAGCTGGCCAAACTTTGCATGTCCTCATCCCTGGAGAAAGAAAAGAGCGAATCCACAGGAATCACTACTCACATCACACATGGACAAACACACCACCAGCTGTGTAAAGGACCTGTCCATTGGACATGCAGAGTTTCTACCAGATCAGGTAGGGGATGTTCAGTTTTCTACGATTTTACAAAATGTGCCTCTGAAGTACAAAGGTAAATACTGACATTTTCTCAAACTTACGTAGCTTTTCCCTCCTTCAGAAAGATGCATGACAGGTTGAGGATGAGCGTGGCTTCCACCACTTTCACAGACAGCGGCTTGAGTTTCAGTGTTAAGTTGTATTGAGCTGAGGCGGCACTGGCATACTTCTTCATATTAACATCAGCTGACGCTAAAACTTTCCTACGGCCTTTTGTCTCCTGAAAGAATACACAAAGACTTTAAGTTTGTAAACAAATTCCTTCTTTCTTTAGATAAACTGGGTCAAATCAAAACAAGACAAGCCCTGATACATACCCAAACAGAACGGAAACAATAAGTAAATAAGTAAGTAAAATTTTATGTATGTAGCCCCTCAAGATAACACCAATATCTTGAAATCCACTCACTAATGAACCGGGAGCCAATGAAGTTACATTGTGGGGTTACATGACAACATTTTGAAGATCCAGTCAGGACCCTAGCAGCAGTATTCTGCCAGACTGATGGGGAGGCTTTGGTAAACCGCATTGCAATAATCAGAATGAGATGAAGCAAAAGCTCGAATTAAGACTTTCTGGAGTTTCTGGATTAGAGGCAACAGGGTTATGTTTGGCGTTATTTTGCAGGTAGAAACAGGAACGGACCAGACTTAACATGATATTCCAGGACAAAACCTGAGTTGAAGGTTATCCCAAGGTTTCTAACCGAGGATTTAGCCAAATAACCTAGAGGCCATACAAAATCACTTCGAGGGCCACAAATGCCCCCCGGGCCGCACTTTGGTCACCCCTGGTTTCATCTAATAATAAGATTTAAGTTGCAATTTTTGATATTTTGGGTTTGAATAAGTTTTCAGTCTAATGATTGTACTTTTTTTTCCTCCCATCTCGATTTTATTAGCAACCTCAGATCCCTCCAACAGTCTTGGGATCTGGTGTCTATTTCAATACCCCCTCCCACCCGTGGTAATCTTAAAACTGCCACTCCCATGAGGTTTGTGTTGAGTCCTGCGGGATCCCAATCCCAGTGCAGGGCTCTAGTATGGAGGACGGAGTGGCCTGACTGCAGTTCTGACCTCAACTCCATTGAACAGCTCTGGGATCAGCCTGTACATCCTGTTCTTTACATGAAGACATGGTTGAAACGTAGAAGTCAACAGCAGAAGCTGTCTGGCAAAGGCACAGAGGATATGGAAAATCTTTCATGGACATAACCCATAATATGCTGAACTTAGTAACTCTACCTGCATATGCATTTTCCTTACGAATGAGGCACCACTAAATGGGGAAGTAAACAGGCTTTCTAAAGGCATGAGATTTATTGCCAAGAAGAATTGTGACAACAAAGAAATAACAAATTGCCTCACTTTTTACTTCAAATTTTACTTTGCTGAGTGTTTCCACTGTCAGATACTGAAAACAAAGCTGCCTCATTTAATTTGTCCACAGAAACATGAATTTTGAATTTTCTCACTAGCGAAGGAACACAAAATGTACACTATGTTTCATTTACTTTTGAAGATGCCCTCATAGCAAAATGCTTTAAAAGCTGAACCAGTGTTGTACTCACTAACCAAGATAACAACTCACAGTTTTCAATTCTGATCTTCAGTATTTTTCAGGAGGTATCTTTTGTAAAACTATGTTGTTGTTTTTTTACATACAGTTGTCAATATGTCTTAATAATATAATGAGACAGATAATTCCTGAACAAATCAAACTCCTCTGTCTCTTCGGCAAGTAGAAGGTGTGAGCAAGTTTAACAATGTAATAAATAATGAACTTACATTTTCAATGACAAAAGTCCAATCTTTGTCTTCAAACTCTTCAGCGGTAGGTTCCTGTTGGTCAACAAAGCATGGTAGCTGTCTGTCAGGTAAATGACTCATAAATGCAACAAAATTGTTGTTATGTAAGTCAAATACTTTATCAGTAGAAAATAAATCCATACCTTGAAGAGAGTCACAGTGATGTTTAAACTCTCTGGAACCTGCCAAATGACCAGGCCTCTGTATGGGTTCTTTATACCAGGCTGCCAGCTGTGGAGCTAACAGAAAAGAGCAACGGAGAACTCAGATGTCATGTAAGATGAATATAATATGAACAGCTTTATTTATTCCTTTTACAAGGAAAAACATGAAAGAGAAAGGAAACACAAAATTTAGATTTGACATAGCCCTCTTGAGGACACTATTTTTGGAGAATGAATTTAAATTTCATTACCACCTTTAGACAATTTAACTGATCCCTAACCCTAACCCTTTGTTATAATTCCATAGTTAATCCAATATTATTTCCCATATTGTTAGCAATTTGTAAGTACAAGCCCCAAAGGTTCAATGAATAAGAAACTTATTTTTTTGTGAATAGTGATGTTATCCATCCAATTTTTAACACACTAATCCTTGCAGGGTCATCCAGAGGTCATCAGGTGAGAGGTGGCTACGCCCTGGACAGGTCGGCAGCCCATCGCAGCAAGTGTACAATTTAACTCAATTTAGAACAATATTGTGTTACATTATACTTGGAAGAAGGAATTCCAAAGTTCCAAGTTGGAAAAATCAATTGAAATTAGAGGTGGACCAAAATTAAAACTTGGCCAGATTTTAATATCCGATATTAATGTTGCTATTATAGATGCTAACAAAATTTTTCATTTATATTATATTATGCTTACCAATACTGTATATATAATATATATTTGACTACCCATTTGACACCTTAAAAAAATTATCACACTGCTGACTGCACCAGTATGACTATCACATGACCACCAACCTCTTCCACTGCCCCTCCAGAAACAAATAAATATCACCCAGTTTTCTGTATCAGACCGATACCGCCATGTTACAACATGGCAAATATTGGCCAATACTGATGTAGCTGATGATCATGCATCCCTAGCTGAAAAAAGCTATTACATCCACCACTATGATTTTTATAAAAACTTATTCATGTGTGATTTTAATTGCATTTCTCATGAAAACGATGCAATTTCAAAATTGTGTTTTTTGACATTACTGGAATATTAAAAAGCTTTGAGCAGATTTGTAATGGAAAGGGAACTAGTGTCTAAATGTATAAAATGCCGAGAAGCACATTATTACTGACAGTTCTGCTACTATTGTAGTTGCAAAATTAAATCCTACAAGTTTTCCTTCATGTAACTCAAATACATGAGGTGTGACATCATTCCAATAAAAATGTTCTTATTTCCAACACTTCTGATACAACTGGCTCAAACAATGAAAAATGACGTGTTATCCAGCTGGTGAAGCTCATGCTACTGGCCAGGTTAGGGCTTCGTAGAGGAGTTTTAATACCACAGCAGGCAGGAGTGGTAATGGTGACTCTAACCTTGGTGCTGTGACGTCTGTTTCTTCTGATCCACATCACCCTCAGTTTGTCTGGTTGCCTAAGTGACAACAAAAAAACACAGTGCGACATTACAACACGCATTCATTTTTAAACTAGTTAATGCAATTTTACATTAATTAATGCATTATTTTTTTACTTTACATCAACCTACCATTAAGTTAACCCTAAGCACATTACAATGCTGCATTGTTATGAATTTGTAACTCAGGCTGTCAAACAATTACAATTGTAATCTGAGAAATCATAGGGTTTCTGTGAATTAATCACAATTTATTAACTAATTATTTTAAAAAATTAACTGAGTTAATGAGTTCAAAATGTTTTTACTGGGACTGTCAATTGATTAAAACAGGGTGTGACAGGAAGAATATAACATATTTTCTCATATCTTTGATGCTTTTGTATTTACCACTTCATGTTTTTTATTTGTTCATGGCAGTGTAGTGTTGCTTCAGTTGTGAATAGTTGCATGTTAAAAAATGCTTTGCTACAATGTTTTGTTGACAACAGTAAAATAATTTCGGTATTCTTCCTATGCTCTCAGCGTTGCTGTGGTGCAGAGCTTTAGCAGCACTGAGCAGCGGTGAGTAGGAAGACAGGTGGACAGGAGAGGAGAGAGAGTGGAGCTGCTTTCAGAGATAACCTTTGTAAGAAACAGGAGATCAGTCCCATAGAGATACAGCTGAGACGGAGAAAGAAATAATGTTCAAACTTCATATCATTTCCGAAAAGTACAGAAGCCAGTGGGTTAACTGCACATTTTAAAAAATTAACTGCATTAAAAGAACAGGAATTAATACATTCATTTTGACTCCTGTGTTTGTAACATCCATCCATCCATCTTCTGTACACCCTTGACCCTTAGTGGGGGTCAGGAGGGTTGCTGGTGCCTATCTCCAGCTAACATTCTGGGTGAGAGGCGGGGTCACCCTGGACAGGTCGCCAGTCTGTCGCAGGGCAACACAAAGACAGACAGGACAAACAACCATGCATGCACACACACACACACACACACACACACACACACACACACACACACACACACACACACACACACACCTAAGGAGAATTTGGAGAGGCCAATTAACCCGACAGTAATGTTTTTGGACTGTGGGAGGAAGCTGGAGTACCCCGAGAGTACTCCGGCAGTTCTACCAACTGCGCCTCTGTGCAGTCCTGTTTGTAGCATATTATGAAATTATTTCCACAAAATGTGGATTATTTCATTACTACATGGAATTTGGCAGCAACATTTAGGTTACTTAAGTGATATTTTAATATTTTTCCACATCAGTAAGAACAGAAGACGTCCCGCTCAAAGTTTGACACAGGCCATGTAGGGAAGACAAACGTGGAGTACCCATCTGAATGCAATATATTCAGATGGGACCAAACAAACAAAACAACCTGTGTGTGTATGTGTGTGTGCATGCGTGTGTGTGTGTGTGTGTGTGTGTGTATGTGTGTGTGTGTGTGTGTGTGTGTGTGTGTGTGTGTGTGTGTGTGGGTGTGTGCGTGTGTTCGTGTGTGTGTGTGCGTGTGCGTGTGTGTGTATGATGGAAAAATACAACACTATGAAACATGGTGGCTGGTAGCATCATTCCCAGGGATTAATTTAGAACAGTTTAACTAAAGAATGTAATTGCTGTTCTTAAATACTTTTATGAAGTCTTAATTTTATTAATTTTTTTTATTTAACTATGAATTAAGTGAACTACGCAATTACTATAATACGGGACATTTATGGGAAAATATTAAATACGCTAGCTTCCCGGCCTTAACGGGAGATTTGGCAGGTATGGTCAACACTGCTAATGAGTCAGACTCACACATGAGCAAAGTTGAGGAACGTCATCCATCAACTTGCTATTCCAACTCCTGACTCGCCACCAGGGGGCGTGTCTGAGTGAGACCTGAGTCTGTGACATAAACCCAACCAAGATGTACTGCTGTAACCAGGAACATTCTACTACAGTGGCCACCTTTCAGTCCAAAGAGGGCAGCTCTGAGTTAAAGGCAAATATTGCTGAATAAAACAAATTTACATGAAAATGTAATGTTGAATTAATGATTAATTGAGAACATGCTGTGAATACTTTGAGGAATCCTTATGAAATTCAAAAATGATGTATGAATGTTAATAAGATAATAGTGAACAAAGAACTGCCATTAACACACATAACAACTCAGAGTGTAGATACAAGAGAAAGAAGTGAGCAATGTGTTGGAGCACCTGCAACCTGTTGATGGACCCTAGCACCATCTCACCCTAGGTGGATGGATGGATGGATGGATGGATGGATGGAAGTGCATAGATAATAAATCAAAAATAACCCCAGAGAAACAGCAGAGGCAGACTTGTAAAACCTTTGGAAGTATGTCACGGTTCTCTGGGTAAGAGTTCCCACACCCCATGGAAACAACAGCTGATGTTTATATTCCAAAAACAAACGCGGAAGTAATGGCCAGGCAGGAGAGAAATACCCATTTGTCAACATGTTGACATCATCTGAGTAGTACTGTGAGGAAAATACGCGAGTCCAACAATACATTCTTTCATTCTAGTTGAACTACTTTCTATTCAGTCACTGAGGGAAACTAAATGATCAAGACTGAGTCTAGAATCAAGAAGTGCGTTTTACCCCGCAAACATTTCGGTTTCATCTGATGCATTATTATTTAAAAGCTCCAACGTCCGCCTCGCTTGTTAAAGTGTGGGACAGTAAGGTGAAAAGATCCATGTATTTACTTCGGACTTTCGGATGAAGCGGTTAATGGATCCCTGACGCCTGGCAGCTCTGGTGACTACGGAGTGCTTCGGGTGGAGTCCCTCCATCCCTTTCTGGTTACGTCTGTCAGTCAGTCCCTTTAATGTGTGTTGAATAGAACCAGGCACACTGAGAGGAATGGATAACCTGCACTACGTCCTCTGTTTAACAAATACCAACATTAATACACTTACCATTTTTCTGTGCATTCTATTACGAGTTCTTGAAAGGAGGCAACAAACTGGAACTTTGACGCCCTCTTCCCGACTCGCTGGAGTCTTTTCCAGACTGAAGTCATGTCTGAGTCGATAGTTCCCGCAAAGAGGCGATTCAGAGCGGCATAACAGCGCAGAGGGCGCAGACCCCCGCTGCTTCACCGCCGGGACGAGGGACAGCGACTCACCGGTGTTGAAAGACACACGCGCCTCAGGCAAGTCTGGGTTCGCATCAAGCTAGCGCAGACTAACTGGAGCACGCGCGCCGATGACTTTCAAAATAAAGTTCTTGTAGGAGTGTTTGTCCTAACGTCAGGTATCACAAACACAGGGGTATTTTGGAGGTAGCGGCTTAGGATGTAAGCACACGGTCATGGTCAGTAGCTCGGTAAGAACACCAATATGGTGTTCTGTAAGATTTCAGGGTTATTATATTAACCCTCAATAATAATAATAATAATAATAATAATAATAATAATAATAATAACATCATTATAATAATATAATATTATTATTATTGTTGTATTAATAATAAAAACATTATTATTATTATTATTATTGTTGTTGTTGTTGTTGTTGTTATTGTCATACTGAATATCTGCACTTCCTGTCCTCCCATGTAGTTTTGTAATTTGACTTTTCTATCAAGCGCTTTACAAGTCACGCATATATTGTAACTTCCCGTTGTGCAGGAGTATGTAACAACGAAACTGGGGCGTTATGCGAAATTCTAAATTAGTACCATAAAACAGAAAACAAAAAAAGAGACAATCCTCTATGGATAAAACAATGACAGACTGCACATGAGGTTACTTGTTGAATAGTGTTTAAAGTAATACTTTCTAGTTTAGCTTTTCTTTAAAGGGTCGGTGTTTTGTGTACACAGGTTAAATTAGTAAGTATTTTATTAGAAACGTTTACAACTGTTTCATTCATAAAAAAGTGACTTGCTAAACACAATTGGAACTAAACCAGAACAAATAACAGGGCCTCACATAAATAGTGCTTAGAGGAGCCAAGCAGAGGTTAGTAAGTTTCCATGATGCTCTGCTGAGGGTTATTATAAAGCAGTGAATACAAAAACAGAAATTATCTCTGAGCCAGTCTGAGAGCATTTCCCCTGTCATGAGTTCAGTGTCAGCTTCAGGGACTTTTTCAGGTCATCACTGAGTTTATTTTTATCCCTCCACATTATCCTGAGCAGCTGGGAACATAATGCTGCTTCTGAGAGTATACAAGAGATAAACAATGAGGAAAAATCTTTTGAACATGAACTTACAATATCTTTTAACTCAGAATCATACATTGATCTGTAGGTTTACAAAGTAAAGTCTCCTGAGAGAAATCAAAAGATATTGGCTGTCTTTGTAAAGGTTATACTATTTAAAAGTTCTATGCTAACTTTAAAACCTTTTTGATAATTTTTTTATCAGTGTGTAATTTGCTCCATCTTTTCTTATTATTGCTGCAATACAAGTTGGTGATTAATTGTCCAGGTTTTACCTGCCGTCACACAGGAACAAAGGCAGTTAGATCAAACAGCTGATGAACCACAGCTTCATAGAGCCATCATAAAATACAGGTATAGTAGTAAATAGCGTAACATTTATCAGTAAAAGAGCAACACTGACATGACTGAACTTTGTGTATATCTAAAAATAAACTCCTAAAACTGCTTTAATTTTTATTTTTGCTTTTCTCAAGTGATCCATAACATACCTATTCCTGTTGGTATAGTTGGTGTGACCTTTAAAACCAAATTTTTAGATTTTCTATTCTAAAATAATAAATAAAAACGTTTAATGATGCTGTGTGGATAAACATTTCACATTATTCCTACATTCAATTCCTTGTTAACATAAGCTCAGGGGATAAAATGCCTTTTTGACAATACATTTAAAACTGAGTGTATAATTTCTGTTTGCAGTGCTTCTTTTTTGGTTTCTTTTTTTCCAGATTTAATGGCTTTTATTTGATAGTGGTCAGACAGGAAAGCAGGTTGTGGAACATATCTACATAGAAATAGTATGTTGATACATTCCAAGTGAAGTGAAGGACAATATAATCCTCTGGTAATCAGTCTGTATGCATCATAGTACTTATAATTCTGGAACACTCACAAAACTATAATTACTGCTGACGTTAAGTCACACTCTCTGGTCCTAGTGCACATTCTCCCAGTAAACAGCTTTTTCCCTTTGCTCTGAGGTTGTTAGTGAGGGACCAAATCCCCTGTGAACGTCCCTCCTTTCTCCTCTTCTCCAAACACATTTTCATGCTTCCTCACTCAGAAGCAGCTGCAACTGGGCTGCAGAAAATCATGTAAGCAAGAAACGAAGAAGACAAGAGAAGGAGGAATATTCCAGCCCAGTCTTCATGAGATTATGTTTTTCTGGCCAGTCTGGTCAATTTATTTCCCAGTTGTTCTTTCTGAAATTCTAACAGGATTAAGTGTTATTAGACTGTAGTTATACTTATTTCCTAATGGTTGTTGTGTGAGTGTTTACTATCAAAATTATTCCCAGTAAATATTTTCCATATGTTTCCTCTGATGTGAAATTTGCAACAGTTGTAGGTAGCTACCCAAGTAAAACACATATCAAAACAAATTGGAATATATCCATCCATCCATCCATCCATCCATCCATCCATCCATCCATCCATCCATCCATCCATCCATCCATCCATCCATCCATCCATCCATCCATCCATCCATTCATTCATTCATTCATTCATTTTCTGTAAGCCCTTGTCCCTTAGTGGGGTCAGGAGGATTGCTGGTGCCTTTCTCCAGCTAACGTTCCAGGTGAGAGGCGCGGTCACCCTGGACAGGTCACCAGTCTGTTGCAGGGCAACACAGAGACAGACAGAACAAACAACCAAGCACACACACAAATCGGAATATATTTCTCCACAAATTATTTTATGAAGCAGTGAACACACAATGAAAAAGATGGGCAAAAAAGGTCCAGAAAGTCAAGAAACCAACTGAAGTCTGCCCGTCTTTAGAAATCATTCTTTCTGCAATATGCAAATGAATATCAGGTAATGGCCAAGAAATAAAAAATCTTATTACTCACACTGGTACAGTTGGTAATAGGAAAGAGACAGTCACAAAAAGGTCTTACTGTTCCAAAGCTTCATATCTAAATTTCTAAGTGTTATAATAAGGACTGGAGCCAAAATCCAGTGAAATTCTGCTAAGAACAGAATTTCACCATAACCTGGCCATAGGCTGGTGCACTTAATACAATGACTGACAGAGGAGTTTGAAGAATCCTCAAAAGAGTTGCTCTTTTACTTATGAAGCTAAAGAGCTTCATAAGTAAAGCAATGTGCACTCACTGCACAAGACTCCACTGGTGGTGGAAGTAAATGATCTTTGGAAACTGTCCCAAGGACTGATTGTCTTTTTGATCTGTCTTTGGAGAAATCTAACAACAAATTACAGGACCTCTTTGGAGAGTAAACTACAGAGAAACATGCAGTTGAGATTAGAGTAATAAGATCCCAGTGGTATCATGCTTCACATTTCCATCTATAACCTTTGTAAATATAGCTTGGCTTATCCGGACACCTGTGAGCTGTCTGTCAGCGGTACCAAGAGGGGGACAGAAAGGACAAGCCAACATTAATATATGATTAAAGTTAGAAAATAATAAAACCCAGATTCCAGCTTCTGTGCAAACCAATCAGAATGTTTCTTCTTGGATTCAGGTAGGGATCTAAGGGTTCAGCTGGGGATCCTGAGGTGGTTGGACTGCCAAGGATCAAGCCTCTTAACTGACTGCATGAGAGATGAAAACTGGACGTTTGGCTCCCCCCAGTCACTGTCTTCTTCTCTTAATCTGACTTGATGGCTAAACAGCTCATTATACCTAATGATGTAATTTTCCTTCTTGGACCTTACATCTGGACAACACCACTCCACTGATGTGTCCACTGGCTTCATGAACTGGAAGGACTTGAGCCTCATGAAGAAACAATCCGTTTGTTGGTGGAAGCCGTGCAGTTACTGCTTTGAAATAATAATAAAAAATCCCATACCAAATTGAGAAAAGGATCAACAGATATGGCAGGCCATTTTATTATAAAAGCAGCTTCACCACACTTACATTCCAGATATCTAAAATTGGTTTATGACTAGTCATATTAGTTGATTAAGATTCTGTTTAGTATAAATGGTGTCTGATTTACCATTAAGTTGTATATAGACTTCAGTTCAAGGGTTAGGGTTACCATGTGTTGGTAGGTCAGCAGCTCCATCCTCTCTCCATGATCAGACAATGAGCTGATCAGAGCTTTGGGAGATGGTCAGACCTCGGGATATTTCAGTGGATCCTAACTCTGCTAAACCTCTCGTCTCTGCTCTCCCTGACCTGCTGCTGGGTTCATGATGCTGGTTGCTCAATAAGGTTCTTAAAGAAACCTTTGAGCTAAATTACAGACTTCTGAAGGAGATTCAGAAAAATATGTAGATACAGTCATATTCAATAAATTAGAGAACTGAAAGAACCTTTTGAAAATAATCCTTAAGTGGGTAATTAACATATGTTTCATCAAGCACACATTATAAAACATATATATTTTTATGATCTGATGTAATATTCAAATTTTAGATGTCATGTTTTCATTACCTGTAAGCAAAAATCATCATAATTAACATAAATTAATCAAATCAAATTTATTGAATTGGCATATAAATCACTGGGTCACTGTAGAGAATTTTATTCCAAAGTACGTGAGAGTTTGAAACACATTTTTGTAAGAATTTCCCTTCCAGTTTTGAAAGGCACTAGGTGATGTTCTCCTACCACAGATCCACACCATCATTGTGCTTTCGGCAAGTCAAGGAGGTGACCTAACAGGACTGATGACTTCATGCATGAGCTACACCGTGTATGTTGTGAGCGATTGGCAGGTTTGGTACCTGTTACGTCACTGAAGCACTTACGTCAGTGGCTCTTAGGGCTTGTATATATGTAGCAGCATTTTTATAAAAATGAATATTTCCTCCATATAATTTTGAAAAATAATATGCACACGTGTTTGCAGAAAATTTTCATCCGCATGAACTTGCACAAATACGTCACTGAGCGCTGTTTTAAGCATACCATACCTGTAGGAGGCAGTGAGGTACATAGTTAAAACCTATGTCAACCAATCAGATCGCTTCAAAACAACCACGACTTCCTCTTAACATGGCGCTAGAAGGTTCATTTGGGTGGAAGATATA